CAAAAAACCGTCTCAGTCATGTCTGACCCCGTGATCTGCAGCATCAGCAAGTGTGGCACACTTTAATTCATAATGCACGAGGAAGTTTCCCTGAAGCCAGTCGCACGTACGGCTCGAGTTGATTTCCCGGTTGGAGCAGAGGTTGGAAACATGCGCTCAGTTTATGTTAATCTAATCTGGCGGCTGTAATGTGTCCGCCGGCGAGGTCTGCTGCTGCAGAAGTGTGTAACAGCATCACACCGACTCAATCTGGCCTCTTAATTAGATCAGACGGCAGACAGATGATGTGAGGCTGCTCCGCTGCGTCGTGGCCAGCTGTGCTTCTCAAACCTGTTTACAGGAGCTTCTGTTTGTTTGGTTTGGTACTCAAGCGTGTCAGTAAACGCATCACGGCGGATATTTCTGGACGACTGGATGAGAGAACTTTTAAATCCTGAAATGATTTTTTTAAGATTTTAGAAAACGTTTCTTTAGACCGTGCTGCGGTTGTCAGGTTCAGGTTTGTCACGTGGTGTTTGCTGTAGAGCCCAACGCCCGAAACAAGTAAAGATGGAGGTCAGAGGTCAGGAAGGACACCTGACGTTAGCTCAAAAGCTTCCTAATGAATATAAAGAAAGGACAAAGTGGCAAGAGGAGACAACAGACTCGTTGACGTTAACGGCAGAGTGTTTTACTTGGTTTGTTGTGCTTGTGAGTGTTGACCTTAAAGTTAAAATGCCAAACTGCCAATTAACACATGCATGTAAAATGGTTTTATAAGGTCTCCTGTGGCCGAGAAAACAGCTGAGCTACACCGAGTGGCATTTCGTCGGGGCAGAAAGTCAGGATCTCCTCTCTGCTCCGTCAGTTTTGACATTTGAGTTTTTCTACAAATTGTCTTGACAAATAACAGTTTTCACTGTAATGCACCTTGAAAATGCTGGTAAACAATTTAAAGCAATCTTGATATAGACTCACATATTCTAACACAAAGTGTTACGCTGTAAAAACTCTAAACCCTTTCCTGATTTGACTTCTAGCCACTGGAAATCCCACTCGGCCCCGACGATGTGCTCCAGGGTGGAGGACTGAGAGCCAAACTGTTCCCTCTCATGTCTGTGCTGATACAAGATGGCCCAGTTTAGCTCGTTTCCTCTAAATCTTCTACCTTGGATGGCTCAGGATGTTACGGTAGAGCTCCACACTGATGCTCAGGGATGGATTCTTTGTGTTTCTTT